CTGAACAAAGAGGTTATGCCCTCACCAGTGTAGGCAAACATCGTCCAGATTCCACTGAGGCCCTGAGTAGAAAAAGGAAAAGGCAAATTCTCTCTCCTAGACCTGGGATATTCATCTTTTCCTGCCCTTGGACACTGGAGCTCCTGGTTCTTGGATGTATATATTTATATATCTCTTTATTGGTTCTCTCTGGAGAACACTGAAACAATACTTAGTGATTTTTAAATTTTTTTTCTATTTTTTATGTCAGCAAGAGAGGTGTGGAAAGATTTTCCTCCACAAATGATCATTTATTTTGCTTTTTTCTGTCAGTTTTGGCATTTAATGACCAAATAAATTTAGGTCATTAAAGTCTACTTTATCTGATACCAAAATAGTGTTTACATGATATAGCTTTTTACTTTCAAAGTTTCTATATCCTTATGTTTTACATGTGCCTCATACAAGCAGGATTTTTTAAAAAGCCAACCTGACAATTATCTTCTGACTGGAGCATTTAGTCCATATACATTTAATATTACAGTTTAAACCTACCATTTACTAAATGCTTTCTTTTGACGTACTTGCTCTGTTTTTCTTTGCTTCATTGCTTTCTCTACATACTCCCTGGCTGTTCTTGTAGTGGTTACCTTGAGATCACAGCGTGCATTACTGACTAATCTAAAATTAATTGGTAATTTTATAGCTTTCCAGTTAATGTAAGAACCTTAGGGATATTTAAGTCCTTTATTCTCTCAACATAAAACAAACAAACAAACAAACAACTTGCTTCTGGTATACTTTAGTTTTTAATACTGCAAGACATTGTATTTTTGTTTCATACAGTCAGTATTTGTTTAGCTTTACCCATAGTTACCATTTTCTTGTTCTTGATTACCTCTGCATCTTCAACCCTTCAAGGAGGAATATTTTCCTTCTGCCTAAAGAACTTTCTCGAATATTTTCTTTATAAGGGCCTGTCAGTGACGACTTCTCTCAGCTTCTGTTTGTTCTGAAAATGTCTTTTACCTTTATTCTTGAATGAATTTTCTGCTAAGTAGAGACATCTATGTAGCATTTTTTTTACTTTTGGCACTTTGAAGGTGTCATTTCAGTGTCTTCTGGCTTCAGATCTTTTTGTTGAGAAATAAGCTATTGTTGCTCCTTGAAGATTCTTTTTTTCCCTCTTGCTACCTCTAAGATACTTGTCTTTAGTTTGAGCACTTTTACTATTTATATTTATTACTAAATATAAATAATATTTTCATTTATCCTTTTTGAGTTTCATATGGTTCTTGAATCTGTGTTTGATATTACATTTTAGGAAGTTCTTATCTACTATCTCTTTAAACACTGTCTTCCCCCACTTTTACTCATTTCTCCTTCAAACCCAATTACAAATATTTTGGATCTCTGTTTTCTCTCTCAACCTTTTCCTATGTAGACCATTCTTTCTGTCCCTTTACACTTTATTCAAGATATTTTCTTCTCAACTATGTACTTCACTAATTTTTTCTTCAGCTATGTTTTATCTGTTATATGTATCCATGGATTCATTTTGGCTATTGTTTTTCATTTTCAGAATTGTTATGGTTCTTTCATTGTCCCCCATTTTTTGTTAAAAGTCTTAATCTTATCTTTCATATTTGAACATTGTAGGCATTGTCATTTTAAAAAATCTGTCCAGTAATACTAAGTCTGGACTCCCAGATGTGTTTCTACTAGCAATTGCTTCTCTTGGATTTTCTTTGTGTCATTTTTCTTCTCATGTACCTAGTTTTTAAATTGTTTTTGTAAAATTGCTTGAAGAAATAATTTGAGAGCAAAGAGAATATCATGTCCTTATAGAGAGGATTTCCTGGTACCTGAGGGCATTGGCACTATGGAATCACTTAAATCCACTGTAGAGATTAAGATTCAGAGCAGAGCAGCAAGCCCCCTGTGTGGTTACAATTTGAGTGCAGTCTCTGGGGGTCCCACACACGAGAGTGAGCGCATTTACCAGCACTAACCCCCACCTTGGCAGTACCCAGAATCCAATTTCTTTTTCCTCTGTGAACCTATCAAAAGTATGACCCAGCCTCTCAGGTACCTCTTGCAGAATCAAGATGCCCAAAGAAGGGATAATCTCCTTCAATCTACATCTTCTTGCCCATAATTTTACTCTTGAATTAGTTCTTTGATGTCTTTAGATAGATTTTTATTTTTTTTTAAGATTTTATTTATTTGTCAGAGAGAGCAGAAGCAGGGAAAGCTGCCAGCAGAACAGGCAGAGGGAGAATCAGGCTTCCTGCTGAGCAGGGAGCCTGATGGGGGGCTCAATCCCAGGACCCTGGGATTATGACCCGAGCCGAAAGCAGACACTCAACCGACTGAGTGGGATTGAGCCCCACATCAGGCTCCCTGCTCAGCAGGAGGCCTGCTTCTCCCTTTCCTCCTGACTGGTGCTCTATCTCTCTGACACTCTTTCAAATAAATATACAATCTTAAAAAAAAAAAAAAGCATTTTGCTCAGCTTTCCCACTACTCAGTGGGAGAATAGGTCTATATTACTTTGTCCACCATTACTGGAAGCAGAATTCTGGTGCATGTTTTTGCAGGGTGAATAGTTATTAGGTGATTTCCATTCCAACTCCTATTTTAACATTCTAACTTAAGAGAACATTTACATATAACTAATTTGATTAAATGTTCTTCAAAAAGTCAAGAATGTACCACAGTTAGTATTTCCTAAGAAACCATGGACTTGGAGGTTAGAACTGATCTGCCATAACTCTCAGAGGCTGGTAGTTTATCTCATGCTATAGGTTTAAATCAGACAACTTCAGGATGTCTGTCATTCAGCAATTTAAGTCTAGTCCTTCCTAATATGTGGGTGAGAAAATACTGCTTTCTTAAGCCCTTGGTCTTTAGGAGTGTCTGGATGGAGGGAGAGGGGAACTGCCTATGATAAAGGCTTTCACCTGGGACTCAGCCAGGTGTGGCTGAAGGATGCTCTGGGCTGAGAGGCAGACTGCTGAGAATGTTCCTCCTCTTTCCTCAAACATCAAAATTTCTGGGAGGTACTAATATATACCCTAAACTCAATTGGTTCAAAAATTAATTGGTAATTACTCATCACTGCTAAGACCACTCCATTCTTCCAGTTAACCAATGCCATTTGTCATTCTTGCTTCTTCTTTCCCTTGATCTTATCCATTTGCAAAATCTTCGTGGCATGATCTTCAATGTGTAATCAGGATCCATCACCTCTCACCACCTCTGCTTATCACCTTTGTCCAAGACACTGTTAGTTTCTGCCTGGATTACCTTGATAGCTCCTAACTGTTCTAGTTCCCACTCTTGTCCCTGTATACTCTTCACAAGGCAGCTAGAGGAATCCTTTCAAAGCCTAAGACAGATTATGCCACATCTTTGCTCAAAATCCTGCAATAAGCTTTCCAATTCACTCAGGGTAAAAACCAAAGTCTATAAATTGGCCTACAAGCTCACTGCTATGGGCCCTCTCTCTTGATCTCTGCCTGTCTCTTCTTGCTCTTTCTCATCAGCCGAGCTGTTCCTCCAACATGTCAGCACCTTTGCATCTGCTACACTCCCTTTCTGGGATGTTCTTAGACAGAAAAGATTTTATTTCCCCTTTGCCCATAGCATGGTCTGGTATGTAGCTCTTATGATTACACTGCATTTTAAGTAGCAGAATCAAGTTTTGCATCACCAGATCCTGAGAAGTCAGGTATTATTTTTGAAGTTGAAGTTTCATTTTATTCCTATTTTGGAAATCTGCCTCAGCCCAAGCTGCCACCAGATGAGAAGGTGCCTACCTGGTTTGGAAGTCTGCAGCTCTTGAAAACCCATGTGGAAAAGGTGATATCACAATCAGATTAAGATGCCAGATAGGTCCCTTAGTTCACAAGGAACAGGAATCAATACATGCTAGAGAGATTTACACTGTGCATAACCTGTGGCCCAGCAATTTCACGCCTATGTTTCCCAGAAAAAACACTCCCAAAGGTGTTCAGAGCCGAAGCTGGTTAAAACCCTAAATAGCTTTCATTAAAAGAATGAACAAATGACTAAGTAAGCACTGTAGAGCAGTTAAAGGATTAGATCTGCATATAGTAATTAATGAATTCATAATTAAGTGATTTCAAAAAGCAGAATGGCACAGAATGAAATAGAACACACCAGTTTTTTAAATAAGGGTGAGTGGAGGAAATTGGGAGAAATGGGATTGGGATGTGAGTAGAGATAAAAGTAAAATGTATGAAAACGAAAGGAAGCCCACACACAGACCAATGATTATGATGCACCATGAACTGAGTTCTTAACAAATCCACAATGAGTACCCAAGCTTATCTGTGGACCAGGCCTGGGAAGGGGGCAGATCCTATGACAAACTATTAGAGCTCCCTCTTCAGGTTGACTAGATAACCACCCACAAACAGAACCCTTCAAGGCGTCCTTCAACGAGCATGTGTTCCAAGCCTTCTCCGTATCGGTCACTATTCCATATATTAGACACGCAAAAGCAAACAAGGTAAATATGGTCCATTGTTTAGCAAATAACAAGTTCACGTGGCCCACCCACACTTCTATTTTTCCTCCCAAAGGGGTAGGAAATTCTGTGAAACGATTTACCTAACCACAGATATTTGCAGCATTTCCTAGATCTATGAACACTATAAAAATAAAAGGGAATAAGTCTGGTAGAAATGGTATACTTGTTGCATCAGAGGAACCAATGTCAAAATCATTTGTAGAAAAACTATTTTAATTAGCATCATGAATTCCAAACTGAAAATAAATGTAATAAATAATGTTTCAATCACCAAAGGTTGTGAATAGTTATAAAGACTTCTCCCTATTTTCTACCTTTTCTACAGAAAATGAAAGCTGTGCCAGACAGTTAAATCCCATGAGATCTGTCATAGATATGTTTCAACTTTGCCCATGAAGTGACCTGACGAAGTCTCCTATAACACTTGTCTGTAATTCCAGAAAATAATGCTAAAGTGATTGATGCAATTTTTTTTTTTTTTTTTTTAGTAATCTCTGCACACAATGTGGGACTTGAACTCACGACCCTGAGATCAAGAGTCAAATGCTCTTCCATTAGAGACAGCCAAGTGCCCCAATTGAGTTTTTTCTTAATGGTGATGCTTTATGTTGAAAAAGTCCTGTACCTTTACCACATTATTTCACAATTGAGGTTTGTATTTGTTCTGTACCCTCTGATGTCAGGTAAGAGATGAGTTCATTGAAAGGTTTTCCCACACCTGTCCCAGGAATAAGGCTCCTCTCCAATGCAGACTGATGTTTGGTAAGATCTGAACTTTGACTGGAGGCTTTTTCAAATCACTTACACTCAAAGAGCTTTTCTCTGTCTGGAATCTTTGATACACTTTAAGAATTGAGCTAATGCTGAAAGCGTCCCCAGAGCAGTCACACATACAGGGTTTTGCTGCAATGTGGATTTACCGATACAGAAGACTGATTTTAGTGAAGGCCTTCCCACTTTTTTTATGTTTATGGGTTTTCTGGTAATAAGCACTGCTTCCAAATGAAGACCTCCCTACTTGCTCCTGTCCAAAGGGAATCTGTTTAATGAGACTTGGGCTCACATGGAATGTTTATGACACTGAAGATCTCCCCAACAGTTCTCTGATATCTGACAAGACCAGTCCAGTATCTGATGGCTTTGCCACATTCTTTACTCTGGTGGGACTCTTCTTCAGGAATGGCTTCTCTGTTGTGTAGTGTAATGAGCCTTGGGTTTACACTGAAGGTCTTTCCAGGCTGAGAATACTCATAGGATTTCCTCAAGTCTGGACATGCTGGTGCTTAGTCAGGACCGCTGGTGTTCCAGGGTTTGTTTTATTAGGGAGAGATATTTTTAGATCACTCATTTTAGACTGAGCAGCTGCTTCTTTTATTAGTTTATTACAAGTAGAAATTGTACACAAGGTAAGGGAATATTTCCCACTCCCAGAGCAGTGACAGAAATGAACTTGAGGGCAAATTCTCCCAAGTGTCTTAGGTCCCTTTATCAGAGAGATACTCTGCTTGGCATGAAGCACTGTAAGCCAATTCCTCAAGGGGCTTCTCCCTCACTTGGCGGTGGAATTCTGCAAAACTCTGCTTTGAAATGGACTCCTTGTTTAGGGCCAGGAGTCACCATCTGAAAGAACAGGTTGATCATGAAATTAGCATCTTTTTCCCTAGAGGCAGAAAGAAGTCAAATGTAACAAATGAGAGCAGCCTACAGAGAGAAATCACCTAAAACATGGCTTTTTATATGTGGAAGTTCTAAGTAAGAATATATACTTGCTTTTTCATTAGTATTTTCTTCTTTTTCCTTTCTTTGGGTTATTTTCCTGTGCTTTTTTTTTTTTTTTTTTTTTTTTTATTTTTTAAAGTAATCTCTACACCCAAGGTGGGGCTCGAACTCATGACCCCAAGATCAAGGGTCGCATGCTCCTCTGAGCCAGCCAGGAGCCCCTTTTCCTGTGCTTTTTTAAAAGTTCTCAAAAATGGATGTTTACAACATTTTCTTCAGTTTTTCTTCTTTTCTAAATATAGCATCTATATTTTTTAAATGAAATAAATAAACTAAGAAGCTTGAAAAAGGACCTGGCACAGATTAGGTCTCAATCAATGGAAGCTACTACTGTTAGTATGATATCATAATGTAAAACAGGAGAAGTAAAATAAGAGGAAGGGACTGGGAAGGAGATGCAACATTTATTTGAGATCCCCTGTGAACATAACAACATATAAAGCAGATTAGAGAGGCCATCACATCAACAAAGCATTTTACTTTCTCTCTGGAGATTATAAAAATCTCAAAGCTGGAGGGGTATCAGAGACTATTTGGCCTGTCTCCTTTATTTTTAAGGATGTAGAAACTGAGGCCCAGCTCGGTGGCGTTAGTCTAGTATAATACAGTTACTTAGAGGTTAAAAACAGGTTGAGACCGAGGGCTCTTAGATCTCACGGGGTTCTTGGATCTCACCTTTAAAGTTTTTACCAGTGTAATACACACTGGCTCTTAGAGCCCAATGTGGTACATAAACAACCTTCATATTAAAACTCTCATATTTTAGTTAGTAGTTAAGAGAACAGATTGTCAGGTTAGACTTCTGGTTTCAATTTCTGGTTCGATCATTGCCTAGCTGAATGACCAAGCTTTTTAATGTCGCTGTTCCTCCATTTCTTCAGCTGTGAAATGGGAGTATAGTAGTATGTATCTCATATCATTGTTTTTTATTGAGAAAAAAATACATATAAGGCACTCAGAAAAAGCCCTGGCATAGAAAGTATTCCATAGATATTGGCCATCATGGTAGATATACTATCTCCATGGAAGACTTGCTTAGTTACTTACTGCCATCTTTGTAAGGATTTTCTTCCCCAACCATATAGTTAAGAAGCTTGGTCATTTGACCTGCTCTGGCTAATGAACTATAAGCGGAAATAACACACACTCCTCCGGACTATATGCTGTGGAAGCCATTGTGTGGCCCCACCACTGTTTTTCTTTCCCTCCTTAAGCCTGGATCCTGGAGTGGAGAGAATGTATTGCAGAGCTGCCACTGACCCACAGCTGACGCACAACATAAACAAGAACATGTTTGTACTGTAAGCAACTGAGATTTGGGGCAGTAACAGGGCAGGGTGGGGAGGCAGTCTTGGTTACATAATACAAAGCTAGTTGGTCATAAGTAGCCTAAGTCACTTGTACCCCCTCACAGCACTTCAGCGCCCCAGCCGCCAGGTGTTGCAGTGTTCAGCTAACACAGGCAAGCAGGAAAGGAACCGCGAAGCCTTTCCTGACTTACTGCACTGGTGTTAGCAAGACGCTCAACAAGACAAAGTGCTGGCAGCTGCACTGTCCTTCTTATCCATGGACAGTGCCAGGCGAGGGAGGTGAATCAGCACAGCTGTGGGGACTGTCTCGCTGCCAAGAGAGCCCTGAACAAAAGGGTCCAGTCATTTTATGGACCTGGGGGCCAGGAGGAAGGAGAGGGGAAAAGGCTGCGAGTGGAAAAGTACTGACTACTGAGTTAGAGTGGGGAAAGGGTCTTCAAGTTCCCTCTACCCCAATAAGGGAGTCTTGGCAGAGTTGCTTAGGCAAGGCCCCCAGTGATGGGCCCCAGATGGAGGTGCCTGGGCTAGCAGGACAGAGATGTCGAAGAGCACTGCTGTCCAGGCAGTCTTGAATCCTTGAGTGCAACTCAGAGTGCATGCATTAGCTGTGCCTCAAAGTCTAGTGTGGGAGGGCAGCTTTCCCCTATGAGGGGTAAAGCATTTGTAATTACCTATAATCAGGTCTAAAAAATCACACACACAAATGGAGCTAGACTCCTCAGGTAAGATGATTTGTTCCACTGAATACCTAAACAGAACGTAAAGGTACAATAATTAGGAAAAAGTGGTATTCACGCAAGGAAAGGCCAATAGACCAATGGAACATAACAGGGAAACCAGAAACAGATCTATGCATATATGGATTATTGATATATGACAAATGAGCACTGTACAACAGTGGGGGAAAAAGAGAGTCTTTCCTATAAGTGATGCAAGATAAACTGGATATTCAGATGGGAAAAGAATGAAATTTAACTACCTCATTCATACATAAAATCAATTTCAGCCAAAACACTATATCGTACACCCGGAACAAATAGAACGCTGCATGTTAACTACAATGGAATTAAAAATTTTTAAAAATCAATTTTAAATGGGTTATAGATATAAATGGAAAAGCAAAACTAAGACTTTTTTTTTAAAAGATTTTATTTGAGAGCAAGAGAGTGAGAGAGAGCATGAGTAGGGCGGAGGGGCAGACGTAGAGGGAGAAGTAGACTCCCCATTGAGCAGGGAGTCCTACATGGGGCTTGATCCCAGGACCCTGAGATCATGACCTGAGCTGAAGGCAGACGCTTAATCAGCTGAGCCACCCAGGCGCCCCAAAACTGTAAGACTTGTAAAGAGTAAATATAGATTAGCCTCATGACCGCAAGGCAGAGAAAGAATTCTTCAAAAGATACACCAAACAAAAAGATACAAAGAAAAAGATAAACTGGACTATTATAAGTTTAAAAAACTAATGCTCATCAAAAGGCATCATTATTAAGAAAATTAAAAGGCAAGCCATAGAGTTGGCGAGGGTATTTGCATTTTCTGTGAAAGGGACTCATATTAATATGTAAATAACTCCTACAACATGTATCTATACATGAACTTTCCATAAAGAACACCAACCAACCAATAAGCACAGTGAGCTTGTCTACTCTTTGTCCAAGAGATGTGACCTCATCTCTCAAGGCTAGCAGGGGCACAAACAATACGAACAAGTGGCCTGGGTAAGAGTGTGGCCAGGGTCCTGCCGTGCTAGCCAGCAGGACATGCAGGAGTGCGGGAGGCCCAACAAGGGCTGTCTCCTCCCAACAATGGCATAGAGTTACAAGGTAAAATGCACTTCTCACTACATTTCAACACTAGCCCAGAGAGGATGTTTCACACTTTCAAGCACAGATAACAAGGAATCTCACGGTCTGGCCCCCGACTGTCTTCAGTGTGATCTGTCACTATTTCCCTACTATATTCTATAATCAGTGAAATCCTCCCTCATTTCCCCCACATACTTTTTTTTTTTTAAGATTTTATTTATTTATTTGAGAGAGAGAAAGAGAGAGAGACCGCACAAGCGGGGGCAGGAGCAGAGGGAGAGGGAGAAGCAGACTCCCCACTGAGCAGGGAGCCCGATGCGGGGCTCGATCCCAGGACCCCGGGATCATGACCTGAGCTGAAGGCATGCAGGTGCCCACAGACACGTACCTTTTAGCATGTGAATCCCAATGTACCTTCCTGTCCCTTTTCCTGTGGCTGAAGAACTCACTCTTCCTCCAAGATTTCTTCCCTTCTCTGAGGCCTTTTCAACCCTTCCACGAGTGGTTGTTACACCTTCACTGCCAAGCCCTCTGTACAAACCTAGTGGCTTTATCACTGTAATTACTGTTTCCTATCTGCTCCCTTCCTCCTGACCCCAAACAGACTGTAAGCCCTGGGACAGTAGGGTGCTTTTTTCATTTATCTTTGTATTCCTAGTGCCTGGCACAAGGCCCAACCCACAACAGATGATCATTAACACCTTAATTTGAGTTCACAAGAAATAACCATGTTACATGCATCCTGATTTCCTAACACTACATTCTTCAGTAAAAGGAAGTTTTTTTCTCCAGAATGTCTGCTCCTTCAAAGTCTTCAGAATACTCACCACTGACTGCTTAGGATTCAGCTGTGCTGGTTTGGGGTGGGATATAGCATCTCTTCAGTGCTGATCCCAGAAGAGTCTGTCTGCAAACCTCCATCCTAGGGACAAACCAAGACATTTGGGGCCAAAGAGGTAAACACTAAAAACACTAATGATAACAATACAGAAACAGGGTGGCAGGGAACTCTCTCTAGGGCAGAGCAAGGAGAAACCAGTCTCCTTCAACTGTCAAAAGGCAGAAAGAAGCAGGGCAAAGGAATTCACACTTTCAATCCAGCATAGCAGAGACAATTTCCTACTGTTTTGCTGAGGCCCTCAATTTCTGCCTATAAGTATGTGCCTCACTCTCTCTAGCATGCCCCATGCCCCAGGTGAGGTCCTGTCTCCTCAGTTTGAGCACCATAACCATGACCTTCTGGGTTCAGCCCCCATGTCCATGCCTAGTTACCTGGGCAGAGGGGTAAGCACTGCCTCAATACCAGAGACTTCGTGATGTGCTTTTCCACGTGCATCTTGGACCTCAGTGATTGGTGGCACTAGTTGGTGCAAAGCTTCATGGAACCCAGTGTATCTATGGGCTGACTGGACTGAAATGAGAAATCCTGGAAACTGTGCATCCCTTTACAACACAGAGTCATCCTACTCTGAGGAGTGAATGCCATTTCACCTTCCCAGAGAATGTTTCCTCCTGCCTATCCACACTGTGGACCAAATCAATCTGCATTTTCTATCAATTTGGTATTCATCTTCAACCTCGAGGGATTTAGTTTCAGGGACCAAAAGAATTTCAGGTCTGTTACCCAGGAGTTGAAAATCACTATTAATATGAAAAAATAGTAACAAAGTAATTTTAAAGTCCAGATCTCTTTCCTGAGTTTCATATGTGCATATATAACTTCTGCGTTTCAGGCCTGGGGATGGGGTTGGAAAGCTAGGGTACAGTCTGATGAACAGCTCTTCTGGGATTTCCACAGAGATAAAAAAGACATTTTCCAAAGTAAACTCAATAACTTTCTACCACTTCTCAAATCTACCAAACTCTTGGTTGATATGAGGCATCAAGCTTCAAGGAGTCACTCAAATAGATCCTTGGAAATCATCCTAAAACCAATGCCAACTCAACAGTTCCCAAGTGAGTCCCATCCTCATACCTCCTGAATCTGCAGATGCCACACCCCACTTTGAGAAACACCAAATGCAAGGGTTTGGAGCACCTGAAGCTTTTAGAGAGGCTTTTTGTTTTTGTTTTTTAAAGATTTTATTTATTTATTTGAGAGAGAGAATGAGATAGAGAGAGCGAGCATGAGACAGGGGAGGGTCAGAGGGAGAAGCAGACTCCCTGCCGAGCAGGTAGCCCGATGCGGGACTCGATCCAGGGACTCCAGGATCATGACCTGAGCCGAAGGCAGTCGCTTGACCAACTGAGCCACCCAGGCGCCCCTGGCTTTTTGTTTTTGTTTTGTTTTAGTTCAGGAAGCTCCGTCAGGTGTAGGGGGTTTATTGGATCAGTAAGTCAAAAGGCCTGGGACTTTGTTGGCAAAGCAAGAATGACCCTGAAGAATTATCTACTGGATTCCTACCTAAAAAGAGGCAGTCTACTCTCTGCCAAGGAAGTTACTAACCCATCTATCTAATCACTCCTGAGAGAACAGAGGTACATCCAAGGCAAAGAAAGGAAAACCAATTGGTTAGTATTTCCAGAAACAATGAGAATATGTGGTTCCTGTCCCACCAATTAACACTACTTCCGATTTCAAAACTTAATAGGTTTCACCCATAATACTGGCAGCAACAACAAAAGGCTTGTACATGAGAAAAATAAAAACAATGTTTGAATTACTGACGTTTGCTCTTCCTAAACCAAAACAAACTACATTACGGTATATATTTAAATGGCTTTACCTTATGAGTTGGAAAGTGGCATTCTCAGTAGTTGTGATTTTAGAATTTCAACTAGTCACCATTCTGGAGTCATTTTCACTGACTTCTCACTTCTTCAATATTCTAAGGGACCAAGTATCAATTAAAACACTAACTTAAAAAAAAACACACACACTACTTTTACCATACCCTTCTTTTGGTGTTAACTTCTGATACAAAAAAGGCCTCTGGAATATCTTCACCACATAAATCACTGCGGACACTTTCCTTTGGCATGTATTTTCTGGTGTTTAGTAAGATTAGAACTCCCACGGAAAGCTTTCCCACACTCATCACACTCGTATGGTTTCTCTCCAGTGTGGATTCTCTGGTGATGGATAAGGGTGGAGATTTGGCTGAATGCTTTCCTGCATTCTCCACACTCATAGGGCTTTTCTCCAGAGTGAATCCTCTGGTGATTAATAAGGGCGGAGTTCACATAGAAGGCCTTCCCACACTCCTTACACTCGTACGGCTTCTCTCCTGTGTGGATTCTCTGATGTTTGATGAGGGCTGAGCTCACGCTGAAGGCTTTCCCACACTCGCCACACTCATAGGGCTTTTCACCAGAGTGGATTCTCTGATGTTTGATAAGGTCTGAGCTCACACTGAAGGCTTTGCCACATTCGTTACACTCATAGGGTTTCTCTCCATTGTGGATTCTCTGATGGATGATCAGGTGTGCCCGCACACTGAAGCCTTTCCTACAGTCACTGCAAGTATAGGGCTTCTCGCCAGTGTGGATCCTTTCATGCACAGTGAGGGTTGAACGCACACTGAAGGCTCTTCCGCAGTGATGACACTCATAGGGCTTCTCGCCAGTGTGGATTCTCCGATGTCGAACAAGGCCTGAGCTCTGAGCAAACTTCTTTCCGCATTCACTACATGTATACCGTCTTTCTTCTGTGGGCCTGTCCTCATGCCTTTGTACCTGGTTCATATACTGAGAGGTTTTTTCATACTTGGGAATCTGTAATGTATCCCTATTATATATGCTGGCAATCTGCTGGTGTGGGTCCATCCTTACAAAAATCTTCCCTTCAGAATCGCCACCTTATTCATACCTCTGGCCTTGATTCCTGAAATAATAACAAACAGACTTTCAAATGTAATTTATTCCCTGCTGCTAAAGCAATAGGACAGGATACAGACTTAACTATTACTCTCAAACATGTTTGATAAACCCAGGACACACCACTTGTATGACAGCCAGATCAAATGTTTTCTTTAGTCTATACGCCGGAACATATCACAAAACTAATAGAATGAACATCTGACTCAAACGTCTATTTCAAATCTACCCTTCATAAAGGTATGTAAAGCACAGAATCTGGAATATAAGTGAATATAAAAATAATACATAGTTCCTACTTAGACAGACTTTTTATCATATTTAACTAAATTGGGACACAAGACAGGAATTGAAGAGATTTGTAGAAAGTACAGCAGATGAAGGATAGAGAATGCAAAAGCAGCAGAAATTCAACTGATAATAAGTTTGGAAAAGTGACAGTAACATGACTGACAGCTGTGTTTTCACCACTCACAGAAGTCCCTGCTATTCGGGCTGTACGAGAAACCTAGGGATAAAAGCAGCTCCACCTGCTACAGCACTGCTGTAGCTGCTGGGGCTGGGACAGCACCTGGCCAGCAGGGATGCTCTGTCTCCCGTGGAACTGTGACACATCAGACCCCTCACCTCTCCAAAGAACGGGGCTCCTTCAGCCCATTCCATCTTTACAGTTCAGACCAACGTGTGGAAGCTTGGTGGATTGTCACCTCTCTCTTACCCCTGGCAACAAACCCAATTCTGTCTCCAAACTTGATTAAAACTTCTGCCGCAAACTCAAATTACATAAATTATCTCCTCTCTGCCTCTTTCGTTTTACAAATTGTTTTATGTCTCAGCAGTAGTAAGTGGACAGTATGTAGCCTTGATGAGAATGGCACTTCATCTCTGAGGTCTTCCTCCCCAAAACCTTTAACAGCAGTATAATAATGAGAAAAACATCGGTCAAATCCCAAATGAGTGGCGTTCTACAAAAAAACCGGACTCCTCAAAACTGTCAAGGTCATCAAAGACAAGTGAAGTCTGAGAAACCATCACATGCAAGAGGAGCCTAAGGAGATGTGACAATTAAAAGTAATATGGTATCCTACATGGGACTCTGGAACAGAAAAAGGACATTAGGTAAAAATGAGGAAAATGTGAATAAAGTATGGATTTTAATAATAATCAACAGTAATTCAATATTTATGATAAGTGTACTAAACTAATGTAAGGTATTAATAATATGGGAAACTGGGTGTGGGGTATATAGGAACTCTCTGTACTATCTTCAAAATCTTTTATAACTCTAAAATGTCCAGAGCACCCAGAAACTATTCTAAAAATTTTATTTAAAAATCTGTCTAGGGGCGCCTGGGTGGCTCAGTCGTTGAGCGTCTGCCTTCAGCTTTATTTTAAGTAATCTCTACACCCAACATGACCCCAAGATCAAGAGTCACATGCTCTTAAAATAAATAAATAAACTTAAGGGGCATGTGGGTGGCTAAGTGGGTTAGCGTCTGCCTTCGGCTTGGGCCCATGTCGGACTCCTGGCTGAGGGGGGAGCCTGCTTCTCCCTCTCCCCCCTGCTTGTGCTCTCTCTCTCTTAAATAAATAAAACTTTTAAAAAATAAAATCAAAATAAACTTCAGGGACATCTGGGTGGCTCAGTCGGTTGGGTGTCTGCCTTCAGCTGAGGCCATGATCCCAGGATCCTGGGATGGAGTCCCACATGGGGTTCCTTGCTCAGCGGGGAGCCTGCTTCTCCCTCTGCCTGCCACTGCCCCTGCTTATACACTCTGACGAATAAATAAAATCTTTAAAAAAATTTAAAAAAATAAACTTTATGGGGCACCTGGGTGGCTCAGTCGGTTAAGCATCTGCCTTCGGCTCAGGTCATGATCCCAGGGTCCTGGGATCGAGCCCCACATCAGGCTCTGCTCCGTGGGAAGCCTGCTTCTCCCTCTGCCTGCAGCTCCCCTTGCCTGTGCCTGCTCTCTCCCCACTCTCTCTGTGTCAAATAAAACCTTTAAAAAAATTTGTCTATGCACCACAAGAAATGGAAAGATATTCCATGTTCATGGATTAGAAGAACAAACATTGTTACAATGTCTATACTGGATGCCTGGGTGGCTCAGTCGGTTAAGCATCTGCCTTTGGCTCAGGTCATGTTTTCAGGGTCCTGGGATCAAGCCCCACATCAGGCTCCCTGCTCAGTGGGGAGCCTGCTTCTCCCTCCCTCTTTGCCTCCCCACCAGCTCCTGCTCTCTTTATAAAATCTTAAAAAATTAAAACTTAAAAAAAAAAAAAGATACATATGTGGCCAACAGACACATGAAAAGATGCTCAAGGGGCTCCTGGGTGGCACAGTTAAGCGTCTGACTCTTGGTTTTGATTCAGGTCCTGATCTCAGTGTCATGAGATTGAGCCCCGGATCAGGCTTTGCTCCGTGGGGAGCCTGCTTCTCCCTCTGCCTGCAGCTCCCCTTGCCTGTGCCTGCTCTCTCCTCACTCAGCGTGGAGTCTGCTTGAAATTCTCTCTCCCCCTCCCTCTCCCTCTGCCCCTCCTGCTTGTGCTGTCACTTTAAAATAAACAGATAAATCTTAAAAAAAAAAAAAAAGATGCTCAACATCACTCATCATCAGGGAAACTCAAATCAAAATCACAGTGAAATACTACCTCACACCAGTCAGAATGGCTAAAATTAACAAGTCAGGAGACAAGAAATGTTAATGAGGATATGGAAAAAGGGGAACCCTCCTACACTTTTGGTGTGAATGCAAGCTGGTGCAGCCATTCTGGAAAACAGTATGGTAGTTCCTCAAAAAGTTAAAAACAGAGCTACCCTATGATCCAGCAATTGCACTACTACATAGTTACCCGGAGAATATAAAAACACTGAGTCAAAGGAATGCATGCACCCTGATGTTCATAGCAGCATTATCTATGCCAAACTATGGAGCCCAAATATCCATTGACTGATGAATGGGTAAAGAAGAAATGGTGTGTGCATATATACACAATGGAATATTACTCAGCCAGAAAAAGAACAAAATCTTGCCATTTGCAAAGACACGGATGGAGCTAGAGTGTACTATGCTAAGCGAAATAAGTCACAGAAAGACAAATACCATAGGATTTCACTCATATGTGGAAGTTAAGAAATAAAACAAAGGGAAAAAAAGAGAAAGAGACAAATCGAGAAACATACTCTTAATTACAAAGAACACAATGATGGTTACCAGAGAGGAGGGGGGTGGGGGATGGGTTAAATAGGTGATGGGGATTAAAGAGTGCATTTGTCATGAGTATCGAATGGTGGAATCACTCTGTTATACACCTGAAACTATTATAACACTGTATGTTAATTAGCTGGAATTTAAATAAAAGTCAAAAAAATAAAAATTAAAAAATGAGTTGTTTTTGAATAGATAATATACAATTGAAAAGTCAAAATTCTCTAAAAAAACAAAGAGAAAGTCTTATTTCCACCATGATCCTCCTCTGTTTACCACCCCCAGAGGTTGGCATTTTTATTAGTTTGTTGTGCCTCTGAATGTTTCTTTATACAAACGCGTATTTTTTAAAGCGCCTGGCTGCCTTCTTCCTGTTGTCGGATGGGGTATGGAGGTTTCCCCACCAGTGTGGCACAGGTTTGTTGGCACATGGACACTACCCTCCGTGGCGCAGGAGCTGAACCGTTTCTCAGTGACGTTGTCCTATCACGTTCCTCTGAACAGCAGCTTCCTGGCAACCCTGAAAAAGGCTCACTGGTGTCGGGCTCACAGACACACGGACTCTTGCCTAGAATCCGGAAGACATGGTTACCATGGAAGCATGTGGCTAGGCTGCTGTGCTATTATTAGCAAAACTTGGAGAATTCCCTAGTCCCACCCAAACCCCTCTGGGCCTGCAGCCTGCTCACACTGGAATTATCTGCTCCCGTCCCCGCCTCCATGTGCCTTCTCTTCCCCTCACAGCTCCAAGCTGCTGACACTTCAGGCAACTACAAAGGATATATGTATTTTTTTCTCTGAATAAATGACCTTAACGCTAAAGATATGTGTAAAATACCCTTCTGTTACCAGATAGCTTTGGGTTAACATTTTTAACTTCGAAGAAAAGCTACCAAAAAGAAGGAGAGGCATTTGCTCTAATCTTTTCAACAGAAGAAAGAGGCTGGGAGGGGCGAGGGAAAATGCACCAAAAATGCCGAAGAAAGGAGTTTCAGCTAACTTTTTTCTTTGAAGCAAAAAGTTTTCAGGAACACCTCGAAAGAACTGGCAGTGTCCCTCAGCTACGAAGGTTGTCACACACTGGAGAGGTCCCTGAGGCCCCCCCCGCCCCGCCCCCTAAATTCAGCCCTGTGAGAAGGGCAAGCAGGGTCAACGGCACTAAGAGGAGCGGCTGCCGGGGGCGTGGGGACCTCGCCCGGGACACGCGGCCCCACCACCCCTTCCCAGAGCCGAGGGCTCGGCACTTGGAGAGGAGGAGCAGGGGGAGGGGGCAAAGGGCACGCGGCTGAGTCAACCTGGCTGCCCCAGAGCGCACCCAAAACCCAAGAGCAAGGACGAGACGACGCCCCGCCTGGACCTTCCACGCCGGGAGAACGGAAGTCGGGACGCGAACAGAGACGTCGACTTCTGCAGACACCCGCGCCGGGCACCTGACGGGCCGCTCTAGGGCCCCGGAGGTTTCCCTCTCAGTGGTTCCTGAGCCGGTCACCTGATAGGGTTCTGTTTACTTCAAACAAGGCATTTTATACCTCTTATCTCCTTTATTCCCGCAAGGATGACGTTACAATCCTCCTCTCATATATATGAAAACTGAAAAGCAGATTTTTCGAGGTTGGACAACTAATCAAACAGCAGAGAGGAAATTTGAACCTAGATCTATCGCACTCCCAAATCCTTCCACTTAGCACTCAGAAATTACTTCTTAATTTGTAAATTTAACACTATTCCAATAAAAATATAAAATTTTTTAGAAGTAGATTTTAACATTCACACAGATAAATAAACAAGCAAGACTCTCTCTGGGAAAACTGAAAAAGGAGGGTAATGAAGGAGCACTTGTTCTAAATGATCTTTAACAGATTATAAAGTCTCAGTGGGACAGTGTCCTACTGGTGAGTGAGACACACAAATGGTACAGAATAGAAAGCCCAGAAATAGATGCAATCAGAGGGAGAAATTTAGCATAGAATAAAGGTACTAAATCAGTAAGAAAAAGATGAGTAGACTCTTCAATAAATGTATGGTGAGAACTAGGTCATCATCTGGAAAAATGTTAAACTGGATTCCTTCCTTGGTCTATACTCAGGTAAATATTCCAAATAAATTGAAGTTGTGTTACAAATGTAAACTATAAAAAGTACCAGAGGAAAATGTGGGAGAAGTCTTTTAAAACCTCACTGTAAGAAAGCCTTTCTAATTATGAACCCAAATCCAGAGGCAATGAATGAAAAGACTGATACATTTGGGGTCCATACAGAGAATCAAAATTCCTGCAAGGTAAAAAAAAACAAAACCACCACAAACAGTCAAAGATAAGTAAAAAATGGAGCACATATATACACCTTATGTCTCAGACAACAGGTAGTAAACATGGAACTCTTGGACAATAACATACTGTGGAAACGGCAGCAGTGTGCTGGGTGCCCTCTTGCTCCACCCTCCCTTTGAACCAGATTCTGCTGAGTTCATAACAACACCCTTACTCTGATCTTGTTAAGTAAGTTAAAAACAAAAAAGTCTCCCCAGGTCCCTTACTTCCAGAGCCTTCAGAAGACCACAAAATGTCAAAGTTTAACACTTACTACCCTCCTGTGGGGTAAAGGGTCCCTATAGTTGATATTTCAATGGTGTATTCCTGGGTAGGAGCTGGAGAGACAGTGATTCTCCCTTTGCTCCCAGGGCTGGTATTTCTTGAGAGATTACTTCTTAAATGTGTGCAAGAGCTGGGACCTGGAAAAAAATTAAACACATGAAATCATGAATGTATCACTGTATAAACAAATGATTCAAGAGAGCAGGCCCATCCCAGGGAGGTATGGAGAAAAAGAAATAATGACAACAAATATTTAGATACTACTTATGTATCAGATACTGTTCATGTAATATTGATAACAATTCTAGGCAGGTGCTTTTTATCATCCTCGTTTACATTCGAGGAAATGGAGGCACACAGAGATTAAGTGATTTGGCCACAATCACAGGTTTAGACGTACATGCCCCAAAAAATAGAAGAAAAAAAAGACACATACGTAAGAGACTAAAAGTTTTACGAGGACTTAATAAATATCTCTCCCTTCCTCTGCGGCTGTCTGGGTTCATCCAACTCAGCCACTTCCTCGGCGACGCCCCGCCCCCATGCTGGTCCCTCTCCCAGACCTGCCTGACCCTCCTCAGCCACTGTCAACCGAGCTGCTGGAGCCAGCTGAGAGACAAGAGTTTTCTGGTAACAGAATTCTTGAAACCAGCAAAAACAACCCCTCTACGTCTGCCACACAGTTTTCGAGTCTGCAATCTGGTAAGATTCCTCTTAAGGGCCTCTTTTTCCGTTACCCTTCTTCTGTAAAAGAAACATTTACTCACAGAAAAGGCAAAGACTGCCATAGGTGTTACACTAACTACCGAGGGGATGGGAGGAAAGAACGCAAACAGGGGGCTAATTTGCTAAGAAGGCTGTCACATCGCCTGCTGGGGTAGCCCGTGGGGCCTGTGCCGCAGACTCTGCCCCGACATCGTCCCGGGGCACTCCGGGCCGGGAGAACAGCAGCGCGCTCCCTGGGAGGCCGTTCTGCGCGGGAGTGGACGGAGAAGTGGCGGCTTGAGGGGCGGGCCATTAACTACCGCCAAGCTGTAACAGCGGTGTACTCTGCGTTCAGAGGGAGTCGTCCTGGGCACAAGAAGGGGAGGGGAAGCCTCTCCTATACTCATTTCGAGTCGTCCGCCGTGTCCCCCTTTCGTTTGGGAAGGCGAGCTGCGCGCCTACCAGGAAGGCACGGTGTTGTCGGGACTCAATGAAGCTCGGGAGGCCGTACCAAAGCCCAGGCTTACCACCCCGAGAGGGAGCAGCTCCGAACCGCGAGAAAAACCCCTCCGGCCAGCCGCACCTGGGCGTCGCCCCCGCGGCCCCAAACACCGCCGGCCTGGCCCCAGGGTACTCGATCCCGGCGGGAGGGAGGCAACCTGCAGGTGCCGCCGAGCAACGCCGGCCACGCCGCCACACACGGACCGGAAGTCCCGGCACTTCCGGGGCGGCCCCCTGAAAACTTCCGGGCGGGCCCTCTAGCTGCCCCAAACTGGTTCCGGCCTCGGGCGCCTGTGTGGCGCCACTCCCGAATGTGCTTTGGGCGTCCCGATTTTGCTGGTGTAGGACGGACAACTCTTGAATTTTGGAACATCTCGAGGTGGGCCCTACAGGATCCCTAAAACCGACACGCGGGACCGCAGGAGCTCGGAAAGCCAGAGCTGCAGATCCTCTGTGCTTTAAGATTAGGGACCAGGGCTTTCAAAACTTGACTGTGATAACACTGCGAACTCCCTCGAACTAGCCATTTCTGGAAGAATTTAACTCAAGACACCAGTCAGTATACTTGTATGGACATACAAGCTGATAAAAGTAGTTCCTAAAATGAAACATTACAGTTGGAGGCACTTAGTATGAATCCATCCCATGGCAGAGTACAAATTAAGAACATATTACAAGGGTCAGACCTGAGGGTATAAACAGCCGGAAAAGAAATGGGCAAAGCATCAGGAAGCCTGGATTCTCTACCTGTACCACTAACTTTAACGGGTGACCCAGTGCAAGCCACAGGCCCCTCTGCATCTCCATTTACAGAATTTCAAAAGTCACTTCCAAGCCTAGCATTCTATAGACCATGAATAATTAAACACAACAGAGAAACGCAGTTATTTCTTTGGTGTGTTACACACTGAAACCAACTATCTCAAGTTGATCCTTTCCAAACCTATTTAGGTGCCATAGAGCTACAAAAGATGAATACTCTTGATCTTTTAAACCATAGGAAATCACATTTTCTCCTTAACAGTCTGCTAAAAACTATGTAAGTGGGTGTTTTACTTGGCAAACTCTTTCTGGCTTGTGGCTTCCTTGGAATAGTTAATCCTATCTAGAGGGACTGCCAAAGGGGCTGTTGAAGGTTGTGTTGTCCCCAAAGCTAAATCGTTTATAAGTTAGAGGCCCCCTGCCGAAGTTTTATCTTTGATTCTACGTAATGAGCCAAGATGGGGAAGGCTAGCACTAGACTTGTAGTCCTAGAACACCTAACTTGGTAGAATGATGGAGCAACAATGGAGGCAGATCTGATGCTGAAAGCAACCTTAGAACATCATCATCAACCATTTTATGGTTTACCATCACCCCAACATGTATATTGCCGCGAACTCCCATCATTTAAGGCTTTTTCTTTTCTAATCTTACATATTATAAAACATATACACACAGGGTTCTTTTAAAGTTTGCCAGTTAATTTTTCTAATCGCAGTGCTGGTATTCGTATCTCTTCTTTCTCCTATATACCTTAAATATATCTAGACCAGGGTTTCTCATGGCACTAATAAACATACGGAGCCAGACATGTCTTTTGTTGTGAGGGCTGTTTGGGCATGCAGGATGTTTAGCAGCATCCCTAGCCTCTATCTGCTAGATGTCAGTAGCATCCCAACTGTCCACTGATGGTACAACCAAAAATATCTCCAGAAGTTGCCAATTTTCTCCAGTTGAGAACCACTGGGTATAACCTCAGATATAAAAGCCTCAGGTACAAAAGCCTATTCTCAAGCACTTTTGCAATGATAATCTTAACACAGTAGTCTCTAGTTTCTTATTCCTATTTTCTTCCTTAATGAATAAATACATTTGGCCAAATAAATGGAGAGCTTCATATTTGTTTTTGCATATATTCTAAAGCTGGGATTTTTTTTTTTTTTTAAAGATTTTATTTATTGGAGGGGAGTGCCTGGGTGACTCAGTCGTTAAGCATCTGCCTTCAGCTCGGGTCATGATCTCAGGGTCCTGGGATCGAGCCCCGCATCGGGCTCCCTGCTCAGTGGGAAGCCTGCTTCTCCCTCTCCCCCTGCTTGTGTTTCCTCTCTCGCGGTCTAATGAATAAACAAAATCTTAAAAAAAATAAAGATTTTATTGGAGAGAGCCTGAGAGCGAGCGGGGGGAGGGGCAGATGGAGAGGGAAAGGGAGATGCAGATTCCCCACTTAGCACAGAGCCCAATGCTGCAATGGATGCAGGGCTTGATCCCATGGACGCTAAGATCATGACCTGGGCCAAAGTCAGACGCTTAACCAACTGAGCCACCCAGGTGCCCCTGAAGTTGGATTTTTTTTTAGTCTTAGTTTGAGGAACAGGCAGTTATAGTTGTACTACAGAAACAGATCTGCATACAAAGTGGTAAGAGAGACATATAAGCCTTGAAAACAGCTTAAAATTTTCTGTAGGTAACTCCATAAATAATCCACACAATGATTCGACAAGCATTTATTAAACACCTACTGTGTGCTCAGCACTGTACTAGGCACTAGGGGGTGCAGAGATACAAATGTAGAAGTCATTATTCCTGCCCTCAAGGAGCTTACAATTTAATTTTGGAAATAAATACAAATGTGAACTACAGTACAGAGTGCTAGAAAATAATTACAAAGCAACATATTAGTAAGTGCATGGACCACAGTACAAACTCAAAGGATAAGTGCTGAGGCAGCACAGAACAAGGGAGGTCTCAGTGTAAGGTGAAGTCAGAGAGAGCTCACTCCGAAGATACAAAGAAGCTAGGCTTAAAGGGAGTGATGAACAAGAGCTGGGGCCAAAAAACAATCTAAACAAAAGATGCTGCATGAGAAAGGCACAGAGGCAAGGGCTTGTAAGACAACAGTGTGAACAAGATGAGTCGAGGTGAATATGCCAGAGAATGAGGCAGAGGCAGATTAAGCATGAAGGGCAAAATAATGGGAGAACTTGGAACACCAGTGCTCTGATAAGAATCATCTGCTGAGTGTTCTGGACTAAAAATGGATTCTGAGGAGGATGACCTTAGAAGCATTACAGGATGGGGATCTTGGAAGCAAGGAAACTAGAAAGAAATTACAATTTCCTGGGCGTCATATGATATGGATCTGCAGAAGGCTATAAGGGGTTGGCAGAAATGTAAAAGATCCAGCCTCATGGAGAAAACTAAGAACCGGAATGTCGAGTGGAGAGCAGAAAAAGACAAAGACAACTATAAGATAGGGATAAGAAATATGAAGGACAGGGCGCCTGGCTGGTTCAGTCAGTAGAGCACAGGATTCAATCTTGGGGCCGTGAGATTGAGCCCCACGTTGGGCATGGAGCCCACTTAAAAAAAAAAAAAAAAGAAATATGAAGGGCAGTGAGTCTTTTCAGGGTAAAGAAGTTAAGCAATAACGCCTATTAAAAGGAAAATGGGAGCTGGGGGACAGGAGTGATGAGGTCTGTTTTCGAATACCAAGTTGTGTAGGTATCTGACCCACAGGGTGGGAAATAAGTTACTGAAACACAGTAAGTGTAAACAATCAAAATAAATAGAAGTGAATATAGAAAAAATACTGGAATAATCAAGACATGAAGGTTATTCTCCGTGGAGAGGAGAAAAAAGACCAATAAAGAAAAGCTAGAAACTGGGAGGAAAATGACCAAAAAGGATCCTACAAGCCAAAGAAGAGAATTCCTGAGTTGCAGGGTAAACTCAACAGTGTGAAATACAGATCAAGAAGGACAAGAACTAAGAAAAGGCATTGATATTTATCCATAGGACACTTCAGTGGAATACTGAGTACAAAAGCCAGTAAGAAGTTTCAAAAGTATAGTAATGAGAAAATGGGATTGAGCGATGGATGGTACATTTGAAAAACCATGAATGACAGAAGAACAGAATGGCAGTTAGAAATGGCAGTGAAGTTGAAGGGTTTCCACATTTTATGCTGTAGGTAAATTTTACTGTCATCCCAACCGACCACATGCCTGGCCTGGCACGGCACATGGATATTTCATTTCCCTCCACAATTCTAGTTCCCTGGGGCAGTTTAGAGAGAAATGTACTCGAATCTGTACATTATTGCTTTATTCTCTGAATTACTCTTTTAAACATGATTTACTTGTACCATTTAGCTTTCTAGTACTACAGAGCATCAAAAGTTATCAACCAAAATAACATTTTCAACCAATTATCCAATAACTGCAATGGATCTGTACTATATTATACTGTACATTCCCTTCCCCAGTAGCTCTTATGGCCAGGGATACAGAATTTCCACATGGCTGGCCAGGGTCAGGGTGTTCACCAGAGACATGGTAGCACAAGGGTCAGCAGCACAGGCTCGAGAATCTGACCCTGTCGGGCAGAGTCCCTGCTCTGTCACTTCCCAGCTCCATGACCTTGGTCAACTCACTCACCCCTCTAAGCCTATTTCCTCATCTATAAAATGCGGGATATACGATCTATCAAACCATGAAAAATGCTTAGCATAGGGCTTGGCACACAGTAAGTGCTTAATAAATGTCAGCTATTACTATTTAGAGTCTCAGGACCAAGAATAAAGCTAACTGCTCTGTATAGGAATCATCCACCACATTCTAGCGCTGCCACCTTGCTCAATGGCGGAAATCTTTGAAACCTAAGATGTGTCTTCTAGGACTAAGTTGGATGGCAGCAGAGTTACAGAAGAACCACACTGTCATGCTGGACCCTAAAATGAGATCATGATGGGAGAAGAAAGTACTGATGAACAGTTCATTTCAGATTAAGAGCATAAAAATAGAATCTGCAGGATATAAAGGAACTTAGCACACATCACTCAGTCAGGAGCTCAGGCTCATAAAGATGGATCAACAACACTCTAGTGCAAAGAGTGAGAAGTGGAGACCAAGAATGGACTTCTACGTATGCCCCCAAAGAAACAACAGCCTTTTCTACTCTTACACTACATGGCTATTTCTGCATGTGGGCTGAACTAACCTTGATAGTTCTTTCAAGTCACGGTCTCTCCTCATTCATCCCAGCATCACACTAATCTTTCTTGGCATATATTCTTTTCTTGGAATTTCTGCCAGATGCTTAGTAATTATAGATTTCAGTAACATAGCTACACATTATTGTGAGTAGAGAGATGTTAGCTGATATACTTACAGTCATTTTAACATGTTGCTCTGAGAGCTTTCACTGGAATAGAAGACAAGTGCTCCTCGGAGCTACGTGGGAGGACCGCGTGTACGTGTGCACATATTTTCCCTCTGACGATGTACTCATCATATATAGTATTTGCACACAGGGCGTACTGGCCTCAGGCAGAACTGGTACCTTACAGAGGCTGAGGCACAACTGAAGCAGAGAGCAAGGATCTGGAGACAACCAGATTTGTTTCTGGTTTCTTGAACTTTCAAGTACAAGGGAATGAGGAATGGAATTCCCTTTGAGTACAAGGGAATCTATAGGCCAAAAGAAAAAAAAAAAAAGAGTAAGAAAACAAAGGATAATGGAAAGCACTGTTTTGAAAAAGTTAGCCAAGGAAACCAGGATCGCAAATGATAGGTGGGTATCAAGGACTCAATGAAACAGGGGTAGTAACCTCGATGTTGTTAGTGATCAGGGTGGGCCACAGAAGGGATTTTATAGAGAAAGAATTTACGATCCAAAAGGCAGACCTTTATGCTGAAAGATTTTATGACCTTTTGAAAAACACCAATAGGTGTTAAGAATTGTTGTTCCTGTTTAGAACAGTGTGAAATTGTGTAACTTCTCTTGGCATGTATCCTATTCTTCTGAATAGGATTAATGGAATCAATTCCAATTTTGAAAGCTGATTTTGGAAAAAAAGCCAAAAGTAACTCCATTCCAAATGTGATGAACAAATGGGTAATGGTAAAAAATGAGACGTTATTCAAGGGTAAAAGTCTTCCAAATATTTGGAGAAGCGGGAGCACAAACGGAATAACCAGAAGTGCCAAATTTAAAGGACAAACCACATTTGGATGCATAAATTCTGGTGTGTTCCTCAAACCAGCCTCATCACCTTATATAATAATATCCCTTGGTATACTGAAAGCCTCCAAGAAAGATAGTGCCCAGCGATGATGAGTTACTACTGGGTCTCTGCTGGATTACAGATGGAGTACACCAGAATTCAGGAGGATGAGGAGCTGTGAGGTGAAGTACTGGACAGATCTCCACTGTGGACACAGAAAGCTCATGGCAAGAAACAGATGGGGAATGAAGGGTGAGGTGCTAAGGCCATCTAACAAGGTGGGACCAGGGTAATGACAAGAGTGACAGACCATCTGGTCAGGGGTTTGTGCAGACTGGTAAGAACCTGACAGGGCAGTACTGTAATGGGCCAGAGGGTTGCGTGTACGTTCTTTGCAAGGATTTTCAGGTCTTCTTCAAGCACCCCTGTCTCCCCTTTCTCCCATGTGATGCTGTAACTGGGATAATGTTACCACCTCTGTGCCACCACAGTGTTCAGTGGGAAGGTGGAAAGGAGAGCCAGAAGTCACCAGAACGTACAACCACCCGAGCTCAAGAGCAGCCAGGCTGTCTCCACTCACCTCTTTCTCTGCTTCATTCCCACAACCATCACTTCCTTTGCTGACACAGGTACTGGGACTGGGGGTGGTGAAGGATACGTATGGATGTTCAATGACTCAGTGGAGTCAGTGAAGGTGATATATGAAGAAAAATGCTGGAGTGCTGTTAAAAATATAGCATTCTGAGTTTGCGTGGGAGTACGGTTTTCCACTGACTATCAGGAACATTAGAATAAAACAAAACACACACTTCAGCATAAATACATTAAGTGTCTGTAAAAATTTCCCTAGAACTAGGTTCCTAGAAAGCTAAATGCAAAGTAAGTCTCACACAGAGGCTGCTTCAGACTCTAAAGCAGCTTCTCAGGTCAGATTTGGAGCATAAGTGACCCTCAGGGGAATAAATGGGGGAAGAGGGTCACAGGAAATGGGAAGCAGCAGAGGGACTAGGAGGAGTAGCCTCTCTCAAACCTACAGCTACTCACCCAAAAGACAAAATTAAGTGCCTCCACGACAAGCAACTTGCTCTAATGCTATTTTGTTTCTAAAGGATACATTAAACCATCAGGAGCTCCACTCCATCAGACGCCTCCCAAGACAGTCAAGCTAATCCACCTGCATCAAGGCACTGGCCCAACTACTGAAGAGCTATCCTAACTCTGCCACCACTATCAATTCTGACCCTAGTGAGGTTGCATGACGACAAACTTTCTTTCTACTACACTGAAAGACCTCTCACCAGCCTGTGGTTTCTCTAAAGTTGAATAATGCCCAAACTATGATTGTGGTTTTTCTCCTAAACTCCTATGGATTCAGATTTTTCTCCACTGTGGATTCTCTGATGCCGAATGAGACTTGACCTCTGAATAAAGGCTTTCCCACACTCATTACATTGATAGGGCTTCTCCCCAGTATGAATTCTCAGATGCTGTATGAGGCCAGTGTTCCCATTAAAAGCTTTCCCACATTCTTTACATTTATAGGGTCTTTCTCCAGTGTGGATTCTCTGATGTTCAATAAGGCCTGACTTCTGACTGAAGGCCCTCCCACACTCATTGCATTTGTAGGGTTTCTCCCCAGTGTGGCTTCTCTGATGGCCAATAAGATGTGAGCTCCGCCTGAAGGTTTTCCCACACTCATCACACTCATAGGGCTTCTCCCCAGTGTGGATTCTCTGATGTCCAATGAGGTGAGAGCTATGACTGAAAGCTTTCCCACACTCATTACATTCATAGGGTCTCTCCCCACTGTGGATTCTCTGGTGCAGAATAAGGCCCGCACTCTGACTGAAAGCCTTCCCACACTGATTGCACTGATACGGCTTCTCCCCAGTATGGATTCTCTGATGCAGGATCAGGCCTGTGTTTTGACTGAAGGCTTTACCACACTCCTTACAGTGATAGCGTTTTACTTTGTTGTGGATATCCTGATGGGAAAGAAGGGCTGACCTGTAACTGAAGGCTTTACCACACACATTACATTGATAGGGTTTCTCCCCAGTGTGGATTCTCCAGTGGCGAACAAGGCCCGAGCTCTGAGCAAAGCTCTTCCCACATTCATCACATTTATGTCGTCTCTCCTGGGTGGGATTTCCCCGCTGCCTCTCTAATCTGCCCAGAAGATCTCGGGCTTCTCCATGCTCAAGACCCCCGATAACATCCCCGTTGCATTTGGCAGCTGTCTCTCCATGTGGTTGGATTCCAGGAGATATTACCTGTTTCGAAGATAATTCCCTGTTCTCATTCCTGGTCTCACCACCTGAAATGAAAATGTGAGAACCATCAAGCCAATGTCACTTTCCATTCTCTATGCTAAAAAGAAATCGAACATATGGGAAATATACACGGAAAACTAGCAGTAAACACAAAACTTCCATCTGTCTCCAAATACTGCCATAACAGAGAGGGAGATGAAAGCAGAGTCAAGCAGAAGTACCACAGGCCGAATGGGGAAGAAATGCCATGAAGAAAGAGGGTTGCTGGGAGGGCACTAAAGCAAGGAAGGGATCACCTGACAAGAAGCAGGGGAGTGGGAAGGAATATGGAACTGCTGAAGGACCTAATGGGGACAGAAATGAAAAAAGCCACAGTCACTGAAAGGGCGGAGCACAAAAGGCCTAATAGGGTGACATCTAGGTAAAGATTCCATGGGGCTGGGAGCAGAAGAAATGACTCCAACTGCATATAGAATAGTACCCAAAGTAAGTCCTGGACTGGAAAATTGAAGTCCATTTTATAGCACTGTTTCTCTCTGTTAGTTCCTGAGTTTAAACTCAACAATGTCTTTCAGAAAGTTCAGAGCTACCATCACATAACAAACAAAACATCTTAACTGATAACAATAACCAGAGCTCTCCTTACCCAGGGAGAACATGTTTCTGTAATTCTCTGGCCTATTATCTCTGCTGGGATCCTTCTGTGACGGGTCAAGAAGCCACTCCTCTCGAATTAGGGATACAGCCATGTCTTCGATCTTCTCTAAAGTCTGAAACAAAACAAAATCCCCATGTGGGACTGGGACTGTTCCATAGCTCCAGCCCACAATGTCAGAGATCTGCCAGGGTTGGAGAGGATCGAGAGGGGGGGAACATACTGTGTAAAGGGATCTAAAGAAGCTGGGAAGAAGAGGGAAATGCACCAGATTTATTGGGATAATCAAGAATCATGCAAAAAGAATCTGGAGCAAGTTCTTGGTCAGTACTGCTACAGAGAGTCCAGACCTCTTTAGGTAGATGCCACCCACACTGCCGAGCAGAGTCAGGGGCTTTGAGAGAGAAGCAGTACAACTCACCTGGAACCCTGCTGTGAGAAGTGCTGCTGTCATCTCCTGGTCTCCAGGACTTCCTTTCTGGGAAGGGGTAGGACTCTGAGAAGTAGAGATGGCTGAGAGAGGAGAAAGGAGCTGAGTGAGGCTAGCCCTGTCCCACAGCTGCGGCAGCCAGCACTAACCCATTCCAACGGTGCTTGTATTTCAGAACATGTGCATTTCTGAGATTTTGCACATAAGATGCTGAAGGGCCCCTGGCTGGCTCGGTAGGTGGAGTATGCGGCTCTAGATCTCAGGGTCGTGCGTTCAAACGTTGGTACAGGGGTTGCTTAAATAAACTTTTTTTAAAATCTTTTTTTTGCGGGGGGGGGAGCTCTGGGTCTATACCTGTGGCTGCCCACAAGACATGTGCACATTGATGTCCCGCTCAGCCTGAAGTTACATGTCAAAAATAGAGTACTGGTTTCCTAATAGGAATTGCTTTACAATTTTCTTCTCTCCCACCAAAGCTACATTCAATCCTTGTGCTTCCTGTACGGTGTTTCTTTAGGTCCTGATCTCTTGGCAAATGGAATATGAGAACCAATTTATATCTACTAACTCTTGTTACCTTTCTGAAATGTCTACCATGACTGCCACTATCTGCTTCCTACAGATATCAGACATTACAATACCAAAATTAACAACAGGCTTTAGAACTTTAGACAAGAATCATATTACTAACTGAAACTGTTTCTATGCTTCTTTAGAAATATTAAAAATCCATTTATATGGAACAAACTGCTATAAACCACATAAATGAAAAAAAAAACTAATGCAGAGCAAGTACGAGATAAAGCTAGAACACCTTGTTCTGCAAGAAGGTAAGAAGTTCTCAAAAAATGATGGGGAAATGTCAAAAGGACGGAGGAGCCAAACTGAAGGGGCCTCCTCTGACCAAATCGGAGACAATTTAAGCACCAAAATAAAGATGGTAACAAAATAAAGACAGATATAGATATTTTATTTCTGGACTTAAGAGTCCATACTGACAAATTAATAAAACGGGGAGGAAGGAACACTGTCTATTACAACAAATAAATGTAGAAGGCATGACACAATTAGAAAATCATTTTATCTTAGTAATCACTGATTCAGTCAAGCATCAAGGAATATTAAAACTAGTGTTTTAGGGGCGCCTGGGTGGCTCAGTCGTTAAGCGTCTGCTTCGGCTTGGGTCATGATCCCAGGGTCCTGGGATCGGGCCCCACATCGGGCTCCCTGCTCAGTGGGGAGTCTTCTTCTCCCTCTCCTGCTCCCCCTGCTTGTGTTCCCTCTCTTGCTGTCTCTCTCTCTCTGTCAAATAAATAAAATCTTAAAAAAAAAAAAGAAAAGAAACACACTCAAGTATCTCTCCACAAATTACTTATTAATTATAAAGGGAAAAATAGTAACTTTACAGTGATCAACCTACCAACTTTGATAACCAAGTCATCAAAGATACCAACACCAGTAACAGGACAAATTTCTCTGGTACAGCGGAGGAGGCAACAGCACTTCTGGGGTGCTCCTGCCACACATGCACAACTGAATTTACACATAAGGAAACACTACACAAACCCAAACTGCAGCCATTCTATAAAACAACCAACCTGTACTCATCAAAAATGTCAAAGTCATGAAAGGCAAAGAAAGGCTGAGCAACTATTCCAAATTAAAGGAGTCTAAAGAAACATGACAACCGACTGCAAAGGGTAATCTTGGACTGGACTCTGGAAGAACATTATTGGGACAACTGGCAAAACAGAAATATGAACTGTAGCCCAGATTATTTCTGTATTAGCATTACATTTCCTAATTGTGGCGCATTACTGTGGCTATCCAAGAAAATGTTCTTGCGTGAGGAATTATGTACTGAAAGTTACAAAGAAAGTGGCATGATACCAGCAAAACCTCAAAACGCCTATGTTGTTACTACACTGGGATAACAGAAATGTGTGAAGATGTAAAAATCCCCAAATTCTTTAATTTGTTCATGAATCTACCAATGGGACTGATAGTCTGTATCTGAAGCCTAAACATTCAAACCCAGATCTTAGGACTGGTCTGTAAACAGAAATTCTACTTCCTAGTTCTCCAGGAACTCAACAGGCACTTTCTTTCTTTTCTACTTCTCCCTCCTCATCAATGAAATCTGGCCCCTCACCTCTCTCTTCTGGCCCCTGGGGCACTGGAGATTTGTGCTGGGTTGCCCCAGGTCGGAGCGGAGTATTTGGAAGCTCTGGTGCAGACTCTGAATGCACCACCTCCTCCCAGAGTCCATGTCCATGTGCACGGGCTGAGACCTGAAAACAATGGGACAGATGCATTACAAGAAACTCCTTCATGAAAGGAAGCAAACAACGTTAAGAAGATCAAGAGCGACGGGACAAGATGGAGCTCTTGCAGGTCCTGAAACGCGGGCTGCAGCAGGTCAGCGGCCACGGCAGCCTCTGTGGCTATCTACGGGTTTTCTTCAGGGCAAATGATGTGAGGGTTGGTACCTTAGTGGGGGAAGACAAATACGGAAACAAATACTATGAAGACAACAAGCAGTTTTTTGGCCGTCACCGATGGGTTATATATACTACTGAAATGAATGGCAAAAACACATTTTGGGATGTGGATGGAAGCATGGTGCCCCCTGAATGGCATCGTTGGTTTCACTGTATGACCGATGATCCTCCAACAACAAAACCACCTACTGCTCGTAAATTCATCTGGACAAATCATTAAGTTCAATGTGAGTGGCACTCCAGAACAATATGTACCTTATCCTACCACTAGAAAGAAGATTCAAGAGTGGGTCTCACCTTCAACACCTTACAAGTAAAGACACTGGAAAACAGTTTGAACATGTGAAATATGGGGCTCTTCATGCAATTGCACTTTCACTGCTTCATATTCACTTGATTAAAAAAAAAAAGAAGATCAAGAGCACATCTCTAGGGATATGTGCTTGTTAAAAGGAAGAAGCAGAATTTCATCTACTTTCCACAGGCAGTGAGAACACAAACGAGCTCATTAGCACAGAAAGGCATCATTTCTGCCGATGCCCTTCCTGCCGTTTTGCACTCGCAAGGCATGGGCAGAATGATAAACAGAAACTTAAAGCAGTGCTATTTGGGAGAAAAAACTTTGGTAACACTGAAGAAATCTGAGGTCTGGTCTCAGATCTACCTTTAATTATGAGTGCCCAGAGTAATTCAAGTAACTTAAGCTCTCTACGTATCAGTTTCCCACCTGGCAAACAGGAACAGTAATAGCTGCAAGGATGTTATAAGGATAAAAAATGTACACCTAGCCTTCACAGAAAAAGAACTCTACAAATACAAGCGACAATGCACTAGAACTATGGTCATCCTCCTACAACAGAAACGGATGCCCAGCATTTATTCTGCTGCAGTGCTAATGTCCCTCCAGCCCGCTTCCAGACCTCCCAGTCACAGCACGCACACCTCCTTCTACTTACTGGCCGTCCTAATATGTCAATCTGCCTTTCCAAATCCTCCAATAGCGTCACCACCTCCTCTCCGTTCTCTAGCTGATGTTCCTTCACCAGAGTCTGGAGCTCCTCAGGCAGGATGGTCAAGAACTGCTCTAGCACTAGCAACTCCAAGATCTGCTCCTTGGTGTTCAAATCTGGCCTTAGCCACTGATGGCAAAGTGCGCGGAGTTGGATCAGAGCTTCTCGGGGTCCTAATGTCTCCTGGTAGCATAACTTCCTAAAGCGCAGGCGGAACAGCTCTTGGCCTGGAGGGTTATTTTCATGCAGACTAGATTCCTGGTCCCAGCCGTGATCTTCCTCTACCTTGACAATTACAAGGTCTTCTTCAGGAGCTTGGTCAGGTGGGGATGGGGCTGACGACTTTCTTGATTCTGCTGCCATTTAGGGCTGGAAAAGCTCAGTAGGCTTGTTTCCACTACCTTCTTTATCTTCTTAAGAACCTTCCAAGGAGCTCTTCAGTAAGGGCAATTCTTGGGGTAGAGAAACTGTCAAACAGTATTAAAGCAAGTCAAAGGTCACAGTAATACATTACGACATCTTAACAAGCTCCTCACCACAACATGTACCTCATGGCTCAATCACTTAAGTGAGCCTCTCCACTGTTCCAGAAGTAACTCCTTACCTCCTTAGCTTTCTGCCAAACACCCATCTGGGGAATAGTCCATCCCTTCTGCTTCCTCTCCTTGGGGATGTGGAATACAGCAAACAAAGTCAAGAAACCATGCAGACTGGGTCAGACTAAAGTTCTGCACTTAACCTCAGCTGGCCCTCAGTGATGATCGAACTCTTTCGGCATCTGCTGCACCATCCATACTGTCTCTACACACTTCGGCTCTCAGCCTATCCCTCACACTCAACAGAGACTCATTTCTTTTTTTTTTTTTTTTTTAGATTTTATTTATTTATTTGACACAGAGAGAGATCACAAGCGGGGGGCAGGGGGCAGAGGGAGAGGGAGAAACAGGCTCCCGGCCAAGCAGGGAGCCTGACGCGGGGCTCGAGCCCAGGACCCTGGGATCATGACCTGAGCCGAAGGCAGACGCTTAACCGACTGAGCCACCCAGGTGCCCTGAGACTAATTTCCATACAGTCTAGCTCAAGGTACTGTCCAGAACTATCCTAACACCAAAGGCTCTTCTCCACCTAAGTCATTATCCTACTGTGCTCTCCATCCCCCCTCCTGTCTCAAGGCTAACCACTTCCACTGTGGACTTTACCTCCCTCTACAACTCTCTTTGGAGCACTGGTCCTGCCTCTCCAAGGAACCTAAATGCCCTAATCACACCTGCAACCCAAAAGTCTAGTCCCACACACTAATGACCTTCCACAGTGTTTTATAAATAAAATCATACAGTAGGTAGTCTTTTGAGTCTGGCATCTTTCACTTAGCATAATACATGAGGTCATCAATGTTGCTGCATGTATCAGTAGTTTCTTCCTTATATGGATGTATGTTTATCCATTCTCAGTTGAGAGATATCTCAAGTCATTTTCAGTTTTTGATGATTACAAGCAAAGCCACTATGAACATCTGCATGTGTTTTTGTTTGAACATGTTTTCATTTTACCTGGATAAATATCTAAAAGTAAAATTGCTGGGTCATATGGTAGGTATATGTATAACTGTATAAGAAACTACAGAACTGTTTTCTAAAGTGGGTGTAACACTTTGCATTCCACTAGCAATATGTGAGAATTGCTTGTTGCTCCATTTCCTGACAAGCATTTAATATTGTTTTATTTTTAATTTTAGGTATCTGAATGTGTAATGGTATCTCACTATGGTTTTATTTATTATTTATTTGCTTTTATTTTTAACCACTCTCTGGTATCTCACTATGGTTTTAATTTGCATTTTCCTTCTGTCCAATAATGTTGAGCATCCTTTCACATGCTTATTTGTCATCCATACATCTTTGGTGAAGTATCTGCTCAAAATTTCTGCCTGTTTTCAAAATTGATTCTATTTTGGGCGCCTGGGTGGCTCAGTCGTTAAGCGTCTGCCTTTGGCTCAGGTCATGATCCCAGGGTCCTGGGATCGAACCCCGCATCAGGCTCCCTGCTCCCCCTGCTTGTGTTCCTTCCCTCCCTTGCTGTGTCTCTCTCTGTCAAATAAATAAATAAAATCTAAAAAAAAAAAAAAATTAGATTCTATTTTGAGTTTCAGGATTCCTTACATATTCTAGATACAAGGCCTTCATAATATATGTGATTAGCAAATATTTCCTCCTCTTCATAACAGAAATGAAGTGCCTTTCAAAGAACAGAAATTCATAACGTTTTTGAAATCGAATTTGTCAATTTGTTTCTTTTAGGGATTGTGCTTTTGGTGTCATATCTAAGAAACCTTTGCTTAATCCATGGTCACAAAGATTTTCTCCTGTTTTCTTCTAAGAGTTTTATAGTTTTAAGTCTTACCTTAGATCTATGATCCATTTTGAGGGTTTTTTTGTTTTTTGTTTTTTGTTTTTTTAAAGTAAACTCTACACTCAACCTGGGGCTCAAACTCATGGTCCTAAACTCAAGAGTCGCATGCTTCACCTGCTGAGTCAGCCAGGCAGGCGCCCCAAATTTTGAGTTAATTTTTGCACAGAGTTTGAAGTGTGGACAGAGATTCATTTTTTTTTTTTGCACAAAGATACCAAAATGTTCCAGCACTGTTTGCAGAAAAGGTTACTCTTTACCCACTGAATTATCTTTGCCCATCTTTGCCAAAAACCAATTGACCATATATGTGTGGGTCTATTTCTGGAATCTCTATTCTGTTCCACTGACCTACACCTTTATCCTTTCACCAAAACAAAACTGTCTTGATTATTGTGGCTTTCAAAATCCTGGAATCAAGTACTAAGAGCCCTGAAACTTTATTGTATATTATCAAAATTGTTTTGATTTTTCTAATTCCATTGTCTTTTGATATAAATTCCTACAAAAAGAAACCCTGGAACAGGATTTGTGCTGAATCTACAGCTCACTGACATTTTAATTTCCATTCTATAAACACAGTCTGTCTCTCCATTTATTCAAGTCTTCTCTGATTGCTTTCATTAGTGCCCAAACTACCTATTCTTTCTCTTCAGATCATATAAATCTGTCGCTTTTTACTACCTATTCTTAAAGGACAAAATAAAATGTTTTCTCCTTTAAAATCCTTTCTTAGGGTGCCTGGCTGGCTCAGTCGGAAGAGCACGTGACTCTTGATGTCAGGGTCGTGAGTTCAAGCACGACACTGGGTGTAGAGCTTACTTTAAAAAAAAGTAAAAAATAAAATCCTTTTTTGATGACTCCATTTGGAAGTGACTGCCCTCTTACTCTATACCTCTGTTGCATAAATGTTTATCACTTTGTGATGTTCAAGTGATTTTTATTTTAGGAATATAATGCTAATACAAAATTGGAAAATGTATTCTCTCATTTTACCATATTCATAGAATAAAAGATTTATAACTTGTTTTTTTAAAGTGTTTATTAATGTTACTTTTCCTGTAGTTATGTATTATTAGTTGCAAAGAAGTTTTGACTTCCTAACTTGATTGTATGTTCCCCATGAGTATAGATCTATATCTTTTATTTTATTGATAATTCTATCAATAAAGAATGAAGAACATTCAAAGGCTATTATTTATAACACCTAACACAGAATATATCTGTATTTGCTAAAGAGCAAGGTTTAGATACAAACCTGGAGGTCCAAAGAGTTCAATAACAGGGTCCTATTTCTTTGTGGGATATATCCTATGGCCTTTATCTTTGGTAACAGACATCACCTCTTGCCTGCACTTGGCAGTGGGTAAGTGGTCTTCCTGCCTTTGGTTATTCTTTTATCCCATTTGTGTTCCACATTGCTGCCTGTTGTGGGTTGAACTGTGTCCTCCCAAAAGATATGTTGAGGTCCTAACCCCTGATACCTGTGAATGTGACCTTATTTAGAAGTAGGGTCTTTGCAGATGTAATCAAGTGAAGCCACTGGAGTAGAGTAGGGCTTTATACAGTATGACTGGTGTACTTTTAAGAAGAGAAGAGAGACAGAAACTGAGACAAAGAGAGAACCATGTGAAGACAGACACAGAAGAGAGCTATGTGACTACAGAGGCAGAGATCAGGAGTTACAAAGCCACAAGCCAAGGAATGCCAGTAACAACCAGAAGCTAGGAGAGCGTGGCCCTGCCGACACCCTGACTTTGGACTTTTGGGCTCCATAACTGAGAGAGAATAGATTTCTGCTGTGTTAAGCCACCAAGCTTGTGATACTTTGTTATATAGTATGTTACCCTATGAAATTAATACTCTGCTAGAGAGACTGTTTTAACAAATACGTAATACAACTCATCACTTTAAAATCTTTCAACAGGGAACCCAACTCTTCAGCACAATATGCAAGGCCCTTTATGGTACGTAAACCTGCCTACCTTTATCTGCTACAAGCTCACCTTCATATAGCTTTTTCCAAACGTGGCTTTCTTAAACCTCCATTCTGCTACAGAGCTCTTTACTCTAGCTCAGTGGTTCTCCACCAGGGGCAATTTTGCTCCCTTCTCCCAAGGATATTTGACATTGTCTGAAAACATATTTGGTTGTTACAACCGAAGGGAAGGGATGCTATTGGCCTACCAGCGGGTAGAGGCCAGAGATGTTACTGAACATCTTCCAATGCGTAACAGAGATCCCCACAACAAAGGATGATCTGGCTCCGTGTCAATGCCAAGGGTGATAAATCCTGGTCTAGTTGAGACCATTCAACTCTAACTTAAAAGTCTGAGCTTACCTATTTCCTTTTTCATGAGGTCTTCTCTATCACCCCCACTCTGTACTCCACCACCCCAAGCAGATTAAGGTGCTACCAAAATATATATATATGTTTTAAGATTTTATTTGTCAGAGAGAGTGACAAAGGATGAGCAGGGGGAGCAGCAGGCAGAGGGAGAAGCAGGCTCTTTTTTAAAAAAATATTTTATTTTATTTATTTGTCAGACAGAGGGTGGGGGAAAGAGTGAGCACAAGCAGGGGGAGCGGCAGGCACAGGGAAAAGCAGGCTCCCTGCTGAGCAAGGAGCCTGATGCGGACTCCATCCCAGGACCCCCAGGACCCCGGGATCAGGACCTGAGCCAAAGGCAGAAGCTTAACCAACTGAGCCACCCAGGCAACCCCCAGCCTTGTCTAATTTTAAAGATAATTTTCTTCCCCTTCTGTCCACACTCTCTAAGTAAGGGTTTGTTTTTGTTTTTAAGTTTCTATTTATTTTTTTAGTAATCTCTACACCCAACATGGGGCTCAAACTCACAATCCGGGGATCAGGGGTCTCATGCTCTTCCCACTGAGCCAGCCAAGCACCCCTCTAAGTAAGGGTTCTTAATGTTCCTGAAGTTATTGGATGGGTGTCAGGTCTGTGAACTCTGCTGAAATTGACTGTAAACTTTTGTGCCTATGGACTTTTTTCTAGGGAGAAATTCTGTGTTTTCATGTGATCGCAGAAACCCTACCCCGTCCTTCCCCTCCTCCAGAAAAAAATACACTCCTGAAAAAGGCACTGCTTTGAAGACTGATGTCAGGAAGTGTACAGATGTAGCGTGATTCTCCTTCTAAGGGCCTGTCTCTCTCTGCTCTGTAGACCACAGGTCTGTGGTTTCACCGTGCACATCTCTGGCCGACTGCTTCTGGGTACGCTGCCTTTGGTCATGCTCTTTTCCACTGCCTGCAGGGCGGCCAGTGCCATCTTTCTGGAACACAAATAACTCATACAACTTTCTTGCTTAGAAAGACATACAGAGGGGGGCGCCTGGGAGGCTCAGTTAGTCAAGCGTCTGCCTTCGGTTCAGGTCATGATCCCAGGGTCCTGGGATGGAGCCCTGTGTCGAGACCCCTGCCCCACAGGGAGCCTGCATCTCCCTTTCCTGCCCCCCCTTGTGTGCTCCCTGTCAAATAAATGAAATCTTAAAAAAAAAAAAGACATACAGAGGAAAAGGTCACTGCCACAAACATTTGCAAGAAAACCATGGCCATGGGCACACATTTACAGTACTCTACATAGTGTGGTTAAGTCCTATATTTGGACCATGTGAAAAATATCTGCTATTTTGTGGAGAAGTGGGGACATTTCCTGGAATAGTGAGAGTTGAGGGAAGAGCGAATCTGGGCAAGAAGCTGAGATTTTTTGGAGAGTTTGAGACAAGAGTAATCAATTTTGTTTTGAACAGCCAGATTTAATATCCATGGTTTTAAATTAATTTATTTTTTAAGTTAATTAAAATTTAATAAATTCTTTTTTTTAATTATTTTTTTAAAGATTTTATCTATTTATTTGAGAGAGAGAATAAGAGACAGCACAAGAGGGAAGAGGGTCAGAGGGAGAAGCAGACTCCCCGCCGAGCAGGGAGCCCGATGTGGGACTCGATCCCGGGACTCCAGGATCACGACCTGAGCCGAAGGCAGTCGCTTAACCAACTGAGCCACCCAGGTGCCCAAAATTTAATAAATTCTTAAATGTTCTTAAAATAGCTACTTATGTTTTAAAAACTTAAAAGATCATTACCATGGGACATTTATTTTAAGTTCTAATTGTTTAGAATGTGATGCTGCACAGTCACAGTTTCACCATGTTGTCTTACGAATTTCCTTAAAGCCAACGTTCATCTTTACTGAATAACTGGCCATCTTCCGTCTTATAGTCAATCCTTACCAACAGTAGATAAAAAATACTTCAATGTTAAGTGTGCACCATTCGAGAACTTTATATTGTTTAAGATATTAAATAATTAACATATTAAATGATATTAAATAAAGTCTCAATAGTGAGACTGATAGAAGTCATCTAATTACCAGCTTTGTTCATAATTTACACCAAATCAGCCAACCAGTCTTGTCCATTCCCCACCCTGACTATTCTTTTTAGTGGCTCTTTTTCCACTTTTTAGTCTCTTTCCTCTCCAATCAAGTTTTTGACAATTACAACCTATAACTAATCAAGTACAAAAATACAGATTACAAAATTAGTCTATTATTTACCTTCCTCTCAGTTTCATGTATACACATCTGCATTAAATTGGTAAGCACTGCTTCTTACATCCTTTTTTTTTTTTAAATTTTATTTATTTATTTATTAGAGAGCGAGCGAGAGAGAAACAGCATGAGAGAGGAGAGGGTCAGAGGGAGAAGCAGGCTCCCCGCTGAGCCGGGAGCCCGATGTGGGACTCGATCCCAGGACCCTGGGATCATGACCTGAGCCGAAGGCAGTCGCTTAACCAACTGAGCCACCCAGGCGCCCTACATCCTCTTTTAAGAATACCCAGTCAAGGGGCACCCGGGTGGCTCAGTTAGTGTTGTGGGACTCTTGATCTCAGGGTGGAGAGATCGAGCCTGGGGAAGGCTCTGCACTCAGCACAGAGTCTGCTTGAGATTCTCTCTCTGCCCCTCCTCCGTGAGCTCGCTCTCTCTAATAAATAAATAGGGGTGTTTGGGTAGCCCACTCAGTTAAGCATCTGCCCTCAGCTCAGGTCATGATCCCCACAACAGGCTCTCTGCTCAACAGGGAGTCTGCTTCTCTCTCTCTCCCTCTGCCCCCCGCTTGTGTGTGCGTGCACACACTCTCCCTCTCTCTCAAATAAATAAATAAATAAAATCTTTATAAATAAATAATTTTCAGGGCGCCTGGGTGGCTCAGTCGTTAAGCATCTGCCTTCAGCTCAGGTCATGATCCCGGGGTCCTAGGATCAAGCCCCGCATCAGGCTCCCTGCTCCGCGGGAAGCCTACTTCTCCCTCTCTCGCTGTCTCTGTCACATAAATAAAACTTTAAAATAAATAAATAAATCTCTTAAAAAAAATACTTGGTCAAGTTTATTGATTTAGGAAGTTAAAATAGTCAATCTGTAAAGACTCTTCTGATCTCAAACGCTATAATCCTGTCAACTACTAAAGGCAAAACTCAGATTTTATTTCATTATTATTCTTTTAAACATTATTTTGTCAGCATTTTGAGAGTGAAGATTTATTTATTTCAGAGAGAGAGAGGAATGGGGGGCAGAGGGAGAGAATCTCAAGCAGTGTCCCTGCTGAGCTCAATCATGGGGCTCCAACTCAGGACCCTGAGATCATGACCTGAGCCCAAATCAAGAATCAGAGGCTTGGGGCACCTGGGTGGCTCAGTTGGTTAAGCGTCTGCCTTTGGCTCAGGTCATGATCCCAGAGTCCTGGGATTGAGTCCTGCATCCAGCTCCCTGCTTCTCCCTCTGCCTGCCACTCCCCCTACTTGTGGGCTCTCTCTGACAAATAAATTAATCAAATCTTAAAAAAAAAAAAAGAGTCCAAGGCTTAACCCACTGAGCCACCCAGGTGCCCCACAACTCAGATTTTAAAGCATTATTGTTTTAAGAGGTAAGAAGGAATGTTTTCTTCCTTAGGACTAAGTAAGTCTACTTTGGGATGTTTGGGAACTGAAAATAAAACAAGAAAGTGATTTTTCAGGCTTTAAAGATCAAGAAAAAATAAGTGAAGCAAAAACTGTCCTTCAGAGTTATCTCAAACTGCAGAAGCCGGTTTTAATATCGACCACATTTCACACTCAACCACAGCACAAATTCAAAATACTTACACATCTGTAAAAACTATGATTACTGCATAAATACACTTAACTGAACTAACCAAACAACAGAAATCTGGATTGTTCTCGGAGGTGGCAGTGGCCTGACAGAATGACTCGTGAGGGACCTGAGTTTTGGAAATGGGGCCCCTCCAGAAGTTCCCAGGCATCTACCTTAGCAACCCTTCATAAGCAAGGTAAGTAGAGTAAGGCTGAATTCCGTATTACCCCAAAATTGTGAAAACTGTCTTTTGTACAATTACCCAGTCAATACACCACCATTTTCTGGATACACTACAGAGCAGAGGAGCAAAAACAGGTTTCCAAGGATAATTAGGCTTCCAAAAGCAAAATACTGCTTGGAAGAAAAAAAAAGGAAAAAAACCGTATTTTGAAGGAAATGCAATATTGCTAAGTAAAAGCAGCTCAGACGGGGGAAGCAGCTGGAAAAAAGATAACGTGGGGGCGGCTTCGCGTTTTAAGGCAAAAACATCACAAAGAGGAGCGGGATGAAGAAAGCGAACCCCCGGGAGAGAGCCCTGGTGGAGAGTTTGGGGCCGCGGCCCAGGCCTGCGCCCGCGGGGACCAACCCCGACCCCCGGCGGCCCGGGGCGCCCCCGCGTCTGGGCCCCCTGCAGACCCTCAACCCTCAGGCCCGTCCCCAGCGGCGGCCCAGTCTGGCCACAGAGCGCTCCGCTCCTCCGCCCGGGGCCCGAGCCGTTACTCACCGCGAGCTCCAGCGGCGGCCCGGGCTGGGGCAGGCGGGCTGCAGAGGACGGACGCAGCCGGAGGAAGGGCGGCGAGGGAGCCGGCAGAAAGCTGTACCCCGACCAGGGCCCCGCAGCCCCGAACTTCCAGGCCCGCGGAGGCACAACATCGACCAACGCGCATCTTGTCTCGAGGCACTTCCGGAAGCTCTCTAGGAATCCTGGAGGTCTGGAAGCTCTATGGTCAGCCGGCTGCGGGCTCCGGCGCGGCGGCGCCTGCGCGCAGCTGTCCGGGGGCGGGAGGGGGAAGGTGGGTGCAGGCTCGGGTCCTGCAAGCGCTTGGAGACCCCGGCGCTTCGCTGTCCTCCAGGGCTTCTGCACAGACTGCCGGTTGCTCGGGGAATTCCTGCCAGCCACAGTTCATAGCCTTTGGAATCCCTTTTGGCACCGAGTAATAGTCTTGCTATACCGTCTTGTTAAAAAATTCATGGTGGGGCGCCTGGGTGGCTCAGATGGTTGGGCGTCTGCCTTCGGCTCGGGTCATGATCCCAGCGTCCTGGGATCGAGTCCCGCGTCGGGCTCCCTGCTCCTTGGGAGCCTGCTTCTCCCTCTGCCTCTCTCTCTCTCTCTGTCTCTCATGAATAAATAAATAAATTCTTTAAAAAAATAAATAAAAAATAAAAAATTCATGGTGATTGAGTATAAATTCCCAACGAATCATTACATGTGTTCAGCTCTTTCCTATCCTACTGAATTGCAATCTCTTACAAAACCTGCTTAGCAGCTGAGCTTTTTGGATGCTCAATTTGTGAGGGACGCTTCGCTAGTAGACCCTAGTTTTCACACCACAAAATTGGGGAAGTAGATATATGATCTCCGTAGGTTACTGAGGACTCTTGCCAAGGAGACAGTGTTTCAGAAGGCTCTGAAGATGGGGCGCCTGGGTGGCTCAGTCGTTGGGCATCTGCCTTCGGCTCAGGTCATGATCCCAGGGTCCTGGGATCGAGCCCCGCATCGGGCTCCCTGCTCCGTGGGGAGCCTGCTTCTCCCTCTCCCCTTCCCCCTGCCTGTGTTCCCTCTCTCGCTGGGTCTCTCTCTGTCAAATAAATAAATAAAACCTTAAAAAAAAAAGAAAAAACAAAACAAAGAAGGCTCTGAAGAATTGCTCCCAAGCTTGTCGGCTTTGTATGCAAAAACGGGAAGACTATGCATGCTTGTCAGCAGCTCTCCAAATCCTTGACTCACAAGGTATAATCTGTTCGGTTGTAAAAATTAAGATTTACTGATTTCCACAGAGACATAAATCTTAATTTACACGTCATCTTAATGCATTATGTTTCTATTATATTGGATTGTTCAAAAACAGTGCCTGCAGGCCTGTGCTTCACTGGTTTTCTGGTTCTTCCTGTTTGGGGATCTCTTTGAGGTCACTTGAGAAGATCACAGAAGGCTGACATTAGTCACCTTAGGGCGGTGTTACTGCACACTTTATATATCCGTTGTATTAAAGTTTTAACTTTTCAGACTAGAATTTGGGGGGTGGGGGTTGAGGAAAATGTCTTATTTGTGTTGTTTTGCCTCCCCTCCCCATTTTTATTCCTTCAGCACCTTTCCTAACCACCCACTTATTTTCTCAGATGCCCCTCCAATCTTCAGCTTAATTTCCCCTCTTTATCTGTTCCTGCTGATAGCTGATGTGGAGAACAAAGGCAAAAGAAAAAAAAAATTAAACGTCCTTACAACTTACAGCCCACTGACAAGTACTTGAGACAGGCAGGGTGACCGTCCTCAAGGAGGTCAGCTGCCACAGTGTTAATACTTTGCTAGAAGCAAAAGGCAACCTTAGCTTGACATTAGCCTGACTTCCAGGATCCTATAAAAAATCCCTTGGGAAACTTCCTTTCTCTCTACCCACCCAAGAGATATGTTAGCAATCATCCTTCAAGCATTGGGCCCACTGATATACATCTGAAGGGTCTCATGACTAAGGATTTACGAGACAGTAATAAATGACCTTTTCTAACAACAGCTAGCCCCTCCATGTCCTGGAAACCCTGCTTCCAAAATTCCTTAGAGGGGCACCTGGGTGGCTCAGTCGGTTAAGCTGACTGCCTTTGGTCCTGGGATTGAGCCCCGCATCAGGCTCCCTGCTCAGCAGGGGAGTCTGCTTCTCTCCTTCCCCCTGCTCATGCTCTCTCACTCACTCTCTCTCTCTCTCAAATAAATAAATAAATAAATAAAATCTTTTTAAAAAACAAAAACAAAATTCCTTAGAGACTTATGCTATCCCTAATCCCCTCCCAACTTGAAAGTATATAATGGTCACTCCTCACAACCCCAGTGCAGCTCTTCCTGCCCAAGAGTCCTGTCCCTGTGCTTTAATAAAACCACCTTTTTGCACCAAAGACATCTCAAGAATTCTTTCATGACCATTCATTCCCAAACCCCAACATTTTCACATCAATAGCCCCCACCATTGTTTCTATCCAGTTCTCAACCCAAATCTGAAAATATTTTGTCCACCCATCAGGACCAAATCTTAGTAGTTTTTATTTGTTTTTAGGCTTTTTTTTTTTTTCCATGCAATCATTACAGTGAAACAACACTAAACACTGAGAAGTTACAATGTTTCTAGAATCCTTCAAAACACTTATTTTTGTTCCTTATCTCATAGCTCTTGCCTCCCAGATGGGATGGTAACTGGAGGTAGCTGGCAACAGATTAGAAATCTGCCCTCAGTTTCTTTTTTTTACATTAAAAAAATAATTTTTTTTAAATCAAAGTTGTACACACACGTATTTTAGAAGTAAAATAGTGTCATGACCTAAGGAAAGATTTCTCAAAAGGCACTAATGATAACAGATAAAACTGCTAAATTTGACTTCATCAAAACTTAAATCTTCTGCTCAATAAAAACACACCTTTAAGAAAGTGAAAGGAGAAGCTACAGACTGGAAAATATTGGAATACGTATTTCTGATAACTGGTATGCAGAATATGTAAAGAACACATACAACTCGATCATAAGAAGAGGAACTAACATAAGTAGGCAAAAGATTTGAGCACACACTTTACAAAAGAAGATATTTGAATGGTCAATAAGCATATGAAAAGGTACTCAACAACATATAGGGAAATATAACATTGAAATCACAAAAAAGCATTAAAATCACTACATATCCATTAGAATTGCTAAAATTAAAATGACTGACAGCACCAAGTGCTGGTGAGTATATGAAGCAACTGGAACTCTTATTCACTGCTAGTTCGAATATAAAATGGTGTGCTAGTTTGAACAACTGGAAATTTTTAATGAAGTTAAATAATGCCTGTATTATGACCCAGCAATCTCACTTCTAGGCATTTACTTAAGAGATATGAAAACATAAGGCCATAGCACCTCTATTCATAATAGACCCAAACTGGAAAAACCCAGGTGTTCATCAGTAGGAGAATAGAGAATCAAACAGTGTTATGTTCTTACAATGTATACTAATCAGAAATAAAAAGAAGCTACTAATAGATGAAAAATGTGAATGAATGTTAGAAATATTATGTTGGGGGCACCTGGCTGGCTCAGTTGGTAGAGATGTGATTCTTGATCTTGGGGTGTTGATTTCAAGCTCCACGTTGGGTGTAGAGATTACTAAAAATTTTTTTAAAAAATATTATGTTGAGGGGAGCCTGGGTGGCTCAGTCAGTGAAGTGTCTGCCTTCAGCTCAGGTCCTGGGATCCAGACCCATATTGGGCTCCCTGCTTAGCGGGGAGCCTGCTTCTCCCTCTCCCTCTGCCCTTCCCTCCCACTCATGCTTACTCTCTCTCTCAAATGAATAGATGAAATCTTTAAAAAAAAAAATTATGTTGAGTAAAAGTAGCCTCATATGAACATATGTTTAGGACAAGTAAAATTAATCTGTGCTGACAGAAGACAAAAAATTTCCATTGGGGTTATGGTTACATGATTGCATACATATGTAAAATGGAGCTGCACACCTGACTTGTGCATTTTATTAATAAAAATAAAATTTTAAAAAGTTAATAAAATTAGGGGTGCCTGGCTGCCTCAATCTGTAGAGCATGTGACTCTTCATCTAGGTTGGTGAGTTCAAGCCCCATGTCGGGCATAGAGCCTCCTGGAAAAAAAAATTAATTAAATTAAATAGTACTCTCAGTTTTATTTTTGTGAAAAACACCAGGCCTCACTCCTCTGTTCCCTACTAATATTTACTCCCCAGGGATAGTCACTTTAACTTGTTCCTTTTACTTTTCATATTAACTTCCATATTTATAATGTACTAACATTGCCATTTCTTGATTTTTCATGTATAGATATTCTATAATATGTATTGACTTCCTACTATGCAAAATAGCATTTAATTTTTTACACCACTACTAGAACTAGCCACACCAGGGATTAGAAGGCACATAAATTTCCTGAGTTGCTAGGTCCAACAACAACAACAGCCCCACCAAGGCACAAAAAGTTAGACTTTGCTTACTTGTACTTTTCTTATTTGTATAAGCAGGGGACATGTTTCTAATAACATCACCAGACAGAGAGCCAGTTCCCAACTCGGATTCAACTGCTTGCCTCTCGAAAATCAGTATTTAAAGACAAGTGACAGTGGAAAAGAAAGCTGGCCACCTAGAAAGACGGTGGACTAATGTCTCAAATACCATCTTCCCAGTCCAGATGAAGCCAGAGGGCTGTAAAGGGGAAGGCATGGGGAAAAGGAGGGGGGCTACATGCCAGAGAAGCAGGTGTCCAGTCTGTTACTCATCTGTAGACATGACCCTGAACAGACTTGCTGTACTCCATGTCGGCTGTTTTCAAATGCAGCCAGGCCTTATCTTCTGGGAAAGCCTGGTCCTTCACTCGTCAAGGCCAGTGGTCTGCAAATCCCGAGAAAAGTAGGTTATTTCTGCTACAGATCAAGGGACTTAGGTCAGCAAGCAAGGAGCTAATAAGCTTGAAGCAAGTTAACCCTTAAGATCAGTTGGAGTGCTGTTACAATAACACTCCAAATATTTTCCACACCTAGCGCCTCAAAGGTGTTCCCAGATTCTCCCCAGTTGTTCCGCATTTTAGTTTCAGAAGCATCACTTCATATACAGTATATGGACTAGCATAGTAATTTTCCAAAAATTTTGGTCTCAGGACGCCTGGCTGGCTCAGTT